AAAAATAACAAATCTTTTTTGAATGTTAAAATGAGGGAAAGGCGTTTTTTTGTCTATTTCCTGTCTGTCTCTTCCAAAATCGTGTGAAAAACACCACAGCAGAGCCTTAACCCCAGGAGGACCATAAAAAGACATATTCAAAATTTCAAAAGTTTGCCCTCAAAAAACAAAGAAATTTAGCCCCTGAAATTAGACCCCTTGGATCCAGATCCGCCTTTGACGCACTGCCATTCACTTTGCCTCTGTTCCCATCAGACAGCAATGAAATCGAAAGATAGACTGGAGGCCAGAGTTCTTACCTCGATTGTGAAACAAGTGAAATGATACAAGAAGACACTCTGTTCATTAAATTGTTTCGTTTACATTTGGTCCAATTACAGAGAACGGTGCGCGGTTTTGAGTTGTTTTGTCGAACGAATATCGTGCATGAATATCTTGGGTATCAATAACATCTTGGGTACCAATAACATCTAGAACGTAAACAAATATAAATTGCACACCTATCACTAGGGTAAGGGATAGCTTTGAGGAACAAAATTGATTTTAATTTCTTTTCCATGTGAGCCACATTGCAGCTCTTCTGTCAAACCATTTCAACTATATATACACCATTATTTCCCCAGGGGGCATTACAGCCTCCAGCATGGAAGGCTTGGTTCGTATCGATTCATGGGGCTCTGATTTGGGGCCCAGTTTCCAATCCTCGAGGCGAAATGTTGATTGAGCATGCATGACATTGTGTCCGACTATAGGCCTATGACGTGGTACACACGTGGCAACATGGAACTGTCGGGTAATGTTCAGAAAGCCCCCCCCCAACCCCACCCCCGGATCGACAGAGTGGCATTTTTTTGACTTGGTACATGGCACTTGCTTATAATTAAACCGGGCAAAAATTGCATCGGGTCAGATTAATGGTGCAGTGTAACATAATAAGGAAGATAGGGCACGATCAAGTTATCGGCCTAAACGTCTGGATGTGACGTTTTTGGATCAATCGAGTTCGTCTCGGCCATTTTTCTTTGGTAATTTTACTGACCTGGCATTCCTGATATTGCATATTCATGTAGGCCCTACATGTAATTCCTAAACGGTGGGATGCTGAACTATTCCCTGTTACGTAGTGCCAGTGTAGCAGCGGGGGGGTCGCTTAAAAAGGCAATGGTAGAAACAAAAAGTTGACCTCCGACTGCAAACATTGAGCTTACAAAGGCACGACATGCATCCTATGAGCTCCCACGAAATCAAGGGGGACCAAGAACGTTATAGGCATTGCTCCGCCTATTAAAAATGGTGCCTCGTGTGGTCTCTGTTCTGCTGAATTCGACAGATTGCAAATGATGCCGTCGAAGCTGCATACGAATTCAGCCGACTGTAGCGCCCCAAACGTGTTACATGACTGCATTCTCTACAATGCCCGTCCAGCCCCTTCACATATATACATGTACATGTATATCGCATTGCACTGCTTCCAAAATGTCATCAAATTCAGTTGCCTCGTTTTCTTTTGAATTCGACTTCCATCTTGGCCTGGGGCGACCGTATGATTTGCAAATCGCATTCCCGACCATTGAGTGAAGCAATCTTTGCTTCTTCCCTCAGACTGGACTGAAAGAGTGGGAGGTGTCCACATCAGGCTAAACTCTCCCTTCAAAACTGCAACTCAATCTTGTGTGGAGGCTCTCTCCGTAATTCCCTTCATCCGATCGCTGACAAAAAAAGATGGAACCGACAACCTCGGCGAAGTTAGGACATAAAGGCCCTTTTTTCCCAATAATCAACAAGATAGCCTTTCATATCGACTCCGGTGGCTGAGACATAAAGGACTGGATTTCTCTAAACCCCCCATACTGGCCCGGTTAGTTTTGTCATGCATCCTGCCCGTATATCTCCGTAATTTGATTTTACTTTTAAATCAACCCGGTCTTTGTCAGCTAACGACATTTGGATGGAGGTGGGGACAAATTAAGGTTTGATAAGATGTAGTCGGCGAGAGAGGGTCTCCTTTGCCGGGGATTAGCGAGCGTCTCTCTTAAAACCCCCCCGACCGCTTGGGAATCCAGCGGGAAGCTCCAACGCGGGTCGGCTGGGGAGCCGGGGCCGGGGGAAACCGGCGCGGCTTAGAGCTCCCCTGGTTAAGCTCCGTCGCGCTCGTTCGCTCGCTCTTCTCGTCTGGTCTCCACGCGGCTTAGCTCTGGTTCGGTGGAGGGGCGAGGCCCTTCGCGGGCGCCGGTCAAGCAAGTCTCTCCCTGGCTGAGACCGACCATACGATGCCCTTACCCCGCTAACGGTTCCTCAGTAGGGGCTAACGTTAATCATGTCCATACATAATGACGCTCTCTCCATGGACCCAGCTTAGGTGGATTAAGGAAACACCACCTAACGACAAATAAAGCGCTGATATTGACATTCAAATGGTAGGGACGCCGATTTTGATTAATAAAGGGACCGCGGCCGCGTTTTTGCTAGTGATAAGAATTTTAAATGCTTTCAATCTCAACCATTTCTGTTTGTTCCTTTTGCAAAGTGGTGCTTTAAACAGCTTGGCCGTCTAAATCCAAAGTCTAGATTAGCCAATACAATCTACATCGGGTTCTGTAATCGGTCGGATGCAGTGTACATGCTTTTGTGGACACTCGGACTCTGTCTACGGAATTTTTTAACGCATTTCACAGATACATAACTTGTACGGTAACAATGGAAACCCTAAAAAGTGAATGTAAAAAGCGAGTGATTTAGACTTCTAGCTACCCCTTTCTGTCAGATCACTGCTACCGTTTTATGTATTAATTTTAGTACCATCAGATTTTGAAAGGAACGTCTCACAGTCTAATAAAGGACAGTATAATTGTGTGCGAAAATGCGGCCATTTTCAACAAGATAAGCTGGACATGATTCATAAACGGTTCGGATAGTGGTCATTCACGATCAGACGTGTCAAAAAGTTAATATAACCTTAGTGATGCGAGTCTTCCAGAGGGTCTACTGATGACGGCTTCTAAAGCAGGCTTGTCGAAACGTCGGTCATGATCAATCCAACCCAGAGCTCTTCAGGGAGAGAGTTACGACATGAGTGTCCCTCAGTTGTTGGAACCAACATGGGGGATTATGCGTCAGTGCACATGGACAATTGGTACACAGTTGCTGCATACTGCGATGCCCACATATTAAACAACCATTTTGCCTGCAAAGGCTGAAGTTGACACTACTCTCTTTATTTTAATATACAGCTGTGACCCAACCACTCCTCCTCATAGCAAGGACGTCTTGCACACAAAGCCCAGGGATGAACTCAGTGATACCCACCACAGTCGATCGATGCGGAAAATTCCTGGTGACCGATTGCGAACTCATCATTTTGTTTACTCCATTTCCCCCAAAACCTCGAGGGTACGACTGATACAGTCACGCCCGGATACTGACCGACGAAGCCGGATTCTAGTTTAAGGAGGAAAAAAGACTTTCGGAGCGGACAACCCCCCCCCCTGCATTAGCTGCACTCGGTTTCCTTTAACCGTCAACAAGAAGGCCTCTCGGGAGAACGACAGGGACTCTTAACACCATGAATAACTCAACCCTCCAATGCGTGTGAGGTGTCTAAAACTCTGCTTCGTTTTGACTGAATGTTTCAGTTACGTGAATGTAGCTCCCCAAGCCTTAGACCATTATAAATTCAGCTAAATGTTCTACGGCACAGGCATAAAAATGTCTTAAGTTGGGCCACCGTTTGCCATATTAAACAGTTCAGGTTAGAAAATGTTTTGGATGCCCAATTAAGCTGGATCAGAGTCAAAGCCGCTATATGGAAAATTGCAATAGGCTGCCACAAGATTCCTGTCGGCTACCCGTCAGATTATCGACAGGAGTCTTCCTCGTTATCAAGGGCGTAAATCCTGAGGGGATGGGGGTATATATCCCACCCTTTTTGACCTTGGGGATGGGCTATTGAATCACCCTCGGCACATTTTTGAGGTGAGAGAAAAAGTTTAAGGCGGAATGTGAAGAGTTGTTTGGATTCCCCAACACCAAAATGTATTCAATAGCACTCAAAAAGGGAGTCAGGCCAATTAAAAAAGTCTTAAATGCCCCCTTTTTGATGTAAGGTTTTTGGAGTGTAATACATATTCCGGTTGTGCATCTGTATCATGAACACCGCCCCCTAGTGTCATCTGATGTGAGCACATCCCCCTGGGGCCTTTCAAATTTCCATGACCGGGCGAGCCACAACCCACCCCCAGCCTGATTCCCCCCCCCCGTTCCTAGCGCGAATTTACACCGCTGCATGTTACTCTCCCCGCAACAAAACAGTGCGGCTGCGACCCGAGCATATTCTGGATTTTTTTCCAAACAGATCGTGCAGACAGAACCCCAGGAGTGTGGGCCATGTGCTCCTTTTCAAACAGATAAAAAGCTGCTATTGCAGTAGTCTTATCCACTCCACCTGCGGTGCGGATACTATTTTTTTTAAGCGATCTTGTTATAGTGTATACTAATGAGGTGTTGCTGCAAATGACATAATTGATCCTGCACACTACTATGGGTTTCTCTCCACTGCTTTAGTCACTTGGGTTCCCGTTGGGCCTGGCCCGGGGCCGTAGGAGTCCAAGAAAAGACATGTTTAACATATCTTGTGCACACTACAAAGAACACGTTCCGTGCAGGATTATTTTTAGAGGGTATCCCGGGCGAAAGTGCTGGGTGATGAAGAGCTTGAAGTGCAACCCTTACACCTCATACCTCCCCCCCCCAAAAAAAAACCGGGGGGTGAGGGAGCATCAACATCCATCTTGACAGCTGTCACTTAGAGCAAATCATCACCTGGGCATTTTCAGAAAAGGGCTTAAGTTTATTACACCCTCTCTTTTCTGAAGCTTTCTGAGAAGCGAGAAGCGAGAGGCAAGCTGCATCTTTATCTGGGCCGATTGTCTCACATTGCGTGCTGCCCTTTCACATCCCCTCCCATCCCCTCGAAAGCCGCAAGCATCCAACCTCTCTTCCTTTCGGAACCCCTCGGTTGACAGCAACGCGTCTATGCAAACAAGATCAGGGGGGCGACTCCTCCCCACCAATTTACGACAAGCGGTCCAAATTGTAGCCCATTGTCTGGCCGATTGTTCCCGTGTTAGCAGGGCCGTTGTGTCCTTACGCGCTCGCTAGCAGCCCTAATTGGGGGGCCTTGTTGGTCTTTTCATCGCGACTATACACACCTCACATCCTGCGGATGCCTCTAGTGGTCCCAAACTAAAGCCACAACTTTCCAATGGCAGGGTGGCATTTGGAGCTTTTTTCTTTTTCAAAGATCTAATGCTCCTGTCAGCAGTTGTTCAGTTATCGGGCGATCAAGGCGGAGTTTACCAGGAAAACAACCCTTGCTGATTGCTGTCCGTTGCCAAAACATCTTTCCAACACCACCGAAAACTTGAACAAATCGAAAGGTGAGCCCTCTTATACCTAGTTTTCCGTCACGTTCCTTTACTAGCCTAGTGCTTGTACATGTATTGAGGCGTTGAGCTAGGAATAAGGATATAGGTTGTGTAGTTTGCGTAGTTGACATGAAAGTGCAGTTTGTTGATGCCATTCGAACACGCAGGAGGGGCTCGTTTGGTACCCGGATGCTTTGCGCGATCAGGGTGCTTTTACGACTCTTCTGAACATCGTAAGAGAGGCTGATTGTACTGCGAAAAAGTCGGCTGTAATCTTCTAACATTTTACTGGTCATTTGTAATCTCTAACACACTGTTTCAAATGAAAAATGCTGCAAGCTTAAGCAGTGCAAAATAAGAATGACTAAAACTTTATACCTCCATTAGGGCAGTAATTATACCAAACTTTAAGTCACCGGGGACCCTTTGGGGCCATGCTTCTTGACCCTGGGTTACCCGGCATCTCTTCATTTTTACGTCTCCCTTTCCAGTTCTCTGCTTTTTTCCAAGCCAGAAGAAACTACAAAGCATACTATTGAAATTCGGAACCACACGTGAGTTTGGATTACTGATCAGCACCCGCTGGACTAGACTAGGAACAGTTTAAAATCCGTGCTCAGCTGAGTTTATTGTATTCAATTAACTGAAGTGACGAGAATTTTGTTGTGGTGTTCTTACACCATAAATGGCGTCCAGAATATCTAATGCGATTTGTCAAGGTGAAAAGCAATGAATGAAACTATAAAGTCCTCGTTTCCTCGTAGCAGATAGTTCCTTGTTTTATGCGCATACCAGATAATGGGACAAAAAACCCAGTGATAAAATAGAGTAGCCCATTCCACCAGGCGATGGAAAAATCTAACGTGAGTACAACCCCATACTTGTCTACTTTTAGAGACGGGCGATGTGGTTTCGAAAGTACATGCAAAATCAAAATTGCACAGACATCAGAAATCAATTTTCTGAATTACTGACGGCTAAACATCCAGGATGGTTAGGCCTAAGTAGAGATTATGTCTTCTGACATAAAGCGAAACCCCAATATCGGCTCTGTATTCAGTGACAAAGACAAATGCCCATCAGAACGTCATGAGCGCAAGACATGCGTATTCTGTACTGCAGCACTGTTGAGTTCCTTTTTTATAGCATCTTCCTAAGGTTGGAAAAATGTTCATTTGAAAAGAATGATCTCATTCACCTCCAGTATTAGAGGTTGCAAGTATAGCCTCTTAAATTCCCTCCAGCAGTTTAGAGAAATTAATTAATCAACAGATTTATGAACAAAACAAAAATCATGACCAAAATCCCCCAGTTTTTCATAGAATTTAAACGTTCCATAACCAACCAACTTGTTGACATCCAAAACGTTTCAGCTTACACAACTGTTTTCCTGTTTAAACATTATTTTGACAGCTTCACTTTTTTTCCAATTGGGCGGATTGGATTCCACACAGTGGATGCACGTGCATCTGTGCACTTTCGTTACCTCCAAAAATCAACAAATGCCATGAAGGATACTTCGAAAAGACGGGATCTATAATGAAAGACCTGCATATCTTTCAAATGGTTTTAAGCTTTGGTTAAAAACTTCTTAAATCACATAACTAAAAACAATTGAAACAGATGCATACAATGATAAAATCATATTTATTAGTGACGCAAAGGGCAAAACCCGTTATTAAAAATAATTAACATCTGCCCGACGCAAAGTACATCTTGGAACATTAAGTTTTGAAGACGCCAAACGTTTGTTTACCAGAGGCTGACCTCGTTGTGATGTCGTATATAATTGTTACTACTGTGTCGCAACCGCTTGGGAACACCCCTGTCCTTGTTCTTTGAGAAATTGTTCAACCTTGTGCATTCAGGCACATCAAGAGTGAGCAAACTCGTCCAGTGTGGAGCAGGCTTGATTGGATGCTCTTCACGCGCGCTCGCACGTCAGACCGCGAACACGAATGCTGAAAAAGGGAGACCGACGGGCGAAAAAAAAATGGACGCGAGAAAACAAGGCAAAAATGACCATGGGTGGTTTTGGAAGCCTGTGATTGGCTGACGGCGGATTAGCCGGGTCCAGATGTAGCAGGGGCGTGTGAGCAAAGTGCGCGGAGAATAATATTTATCATTGTGAGTTTGTCCGCCGGTCAACGGGCGCTGGGTTGATTGACAGTCGGAGATAGGGGAGCCGTAGAAGCCGTTTCGCCCCGCGCCTACTAAAGGTGCATCCGCATGTGTCTCAATGTAACACTCCTCTCGCATCCCATGGCAAAGCGATCGTGTCGAGAGTTGGACTGCAGTTATAAAAAAAAAAAACCTCACCATCAGCATTTGCGGATCACAAAAGAGTCTAAGCCGGTTCTATCGGCGAAATACTTCGTACGAATCGTCTCTGTTTCCATTTGTGGTTCACCTCTTCACCGGTAGACGTCTTTGCAGTGTGTGTAAGTCTGACTTTCATAATGTACGATTTTATTGTGCTTGCGAAATGTATTGGCCGTGTTTGTTTAATCCTCGATGCGCATTCAGATCAAAGCATGCCCTTTTAGCTCGGTTTACAACGATTAAGCATTCGGAACTCAGCTGCTCACAGAGAAATGACTACCGGTACATGAATACGGAATTGCTTCTGTCAGAATATTTAGAAAATATCTAGCCGGTACGACAGTTTGTCTTAACTTTTATTATGTTTTTATTACGTTTTTTTTCTGTCGAGTTAAATGATGTCTGTCTTGGTTGGAGGCCATTTTTTCAGCTTAAATGAAATTAACAGGTTTTTAAACGCTCGATATCAATTACTTCAAAAGCTAACTCCCGTTGTTCGGGGGCCAAAGTTAAAAAACAGTTTGGCTTCCAAAATGTTGACAACGTTGAAAACACCTTTTTTTCCAATGAAAATTGTTGTAAATGCACGGAAAGTGTATCCTTCAATTATTATATCCCATACTTGACTAAGTAATGTCAATGATGTTTTTCTCAATCTGCATCTTTTCAGTTTCGAGAAGTGAAACCATTTTGGCAGTCATGTGCAATCTCGATTGGATACATTACATGACTGGAAGTCGTCACTATTGATGAAGTTATCCATTTTGGGATAATATTGCAAATAACATTTAGTTTATTCTGGCTGAAGGATTTCTGCACCGGTGGTATAGCTTTGCGTTCATTAGAGTTGTTTTTGATTGGGCCTTTATATCACACATGGCCTTCATTACACGGCTAATGTACGGAAATTGGCCAGTGAGAATTATTCTCAAGAGAATTCATTAACGTGTTCGCTATACTGCAGTCTCCGATTCAGTCGCCAACTGCTCTTTTCACTCAGACTTATCTGATGAGGATTCTAATTTCAAATAGATACAGCAGATTTCGTTTCTTTCTTTTATTGTGCTTTCAATTTGGTGTCATTTCACCGGGAGTGATTTTCGTTCGTTAATTTCAGCTTGAAAAATTAATTGCATGTTATGCTAAGATGGAAAGCCTGACATTCTTCCCGGCTACGGCAAAAATTGGAACGATGAACATTTTTCTCATTTTACTAGTCTAATGAGCATCCCTTTGATTGGGCATTCTAGACGAAAATGCAAGTGCGACGACATTGTCTTGTTGCCAATAGTTTTCCTAATGCGTCAATTTGTATGTACGTAGCATGAGGTGGCCGCTTCATGAAAGATGAGGTTATTCAAATCGGCGCGTCTTCATTATTATCTGTCATTACTGTAGGTGTCAATGAACTGGCAGCTCTTTCGGTCCATATTGTGTGCTTTTCCTTCACCAGAAGAAACGTTGTGGAATTGTCTGGTCGCACAGATCGCGCGGGGGACATTTCGTGGATTTATGCATAGGCGACGTGGTGAGTTCTTGACTTACTAGGCCCCCGCCGCGAGCGAGCCGCTGTGTGTTATCGGAAAAGTTGCTGGGAGAGTGTCGAGTCATTTAACTTGGGTCCATTAATTTTCTTCTCGACTCTGTGTGTTGCAGATTACCATACCGCTTGGAGACGTCTTGAGCGTGCATTGAACCCTGTGTGTCCTCTGCTGTGTGGCGTCATCGCCGCCGTGAAGGGAGCTGCCATATCGGACTGCCAGCACTGTGAGAGCGTCAAGAATCGACCGGGCCGGACGTAATGGACTGCGGCGTAGACGTCATCCGACCGCGGCAGCCCGTGGGAGCCCAGACCGTGCACAGATCGTCCAAGATGTCGGCCGGCCGCGCTGGTGGTGGTGATGGCGCGCCGTCCCCGTCCGGGTCGACGTCGGCCGCGCGGCGTGGCCTGAGCTTCTCCATCGACCGGATCATGGGCAACGACTCGCCATCTGCTGCGGCCAGGTCGTTCTCCTCTGCCTCCTCCCCGCCGACCAGCGCTCTGGCCAAGATGTCGCCTCCATCCTCCTCACCGGCCGCCGTCGTCGAATCCGCCAAGAGGGCCACAACGGTCCGGCCAACTCTCGCCGTTCTGCCAAGGGATCAGGCCCAGGTAACCCGGGCTCGCATGTTTGGCATGGTGGACGCCACTGAACTGGACATCCAAACGGCCAAATACCAACATTACCTGAACATGGCTTGCTTGCCGCTGTACATGAACAGCAGAACCGGGGCCCTACCCCGACCACACCCTTTCTACTCCACAACTGCCTCGGGACAGTATCTCACCAAGTGGCTGGCATCAAACATCAATGGGCAGAAACTGGACAATTTTCCCGTCAAGTCCCTTCCCGAAGCCAGGCTGGGTTTAGCAGCCCACCCTTCCCTCCCCTTTGCCGGATTGTTCTCGCCGTCGGCCTTTAAGACTGCGGCCGACTTCGACGGTCCCATTTCCAACTTGGCGGAAAGGGTATGGGCAGCGGACCCGGTAGTTATGCGCGCGAGACCCGATAGCTATGCCCCAAAGGTCCCCCGCAACCCGGGATCCAGCCCGTCCCCCCGACCGGCGGAAGTCAAGGTAGAGAAAACCTCACCCTCTAGCAACCAGCAGCGGACCAAGCGAACCCAGAGCGGGCAGCAGAAAGCCTTCACTTGCCTGGACTGTGGCAAGGTGTTCAATGCCCACTACAACCTGACCCGGCACATGCCGGTGCACACAGGCGCCCGGCCCTTCATCTGCAAGATCTGCGGGAAGGGGTTTCGGCAAGCCAGCACGCTGTGCCGGCACAAGATCATTCACACCAACGAAAAGCCGCACAAGTGCCGGGAGTGCGGCAAGGCGTTCAACCGGAGCTCCACGCTCAACACCCACATGCGGATCCACGCCAACTACAAGCCCTTCGTCTGCGAGTTCTGCGGTAAGGGCTTCCACCAGAAGGGCAACTACAAGAACCACCGGCTGACCCACAGCGGCGAGAAGGCCTACAAGTGTCACATTTGCCACAAGGCCTTCCACCAGATCTACAACCTGACTTTCCACATGCACACCCACCAGGAGAAGAAACCGTTCACCTGCAGCGTGTGCGGCAAGGGATTTTGCCGAAACTTCGATCTCAAGAAGCACGTCCGGAAACTCCACGAGGGCGGCACAGCGTCGCTACCTTCCCCGTGCTCCGACTCGTCCAGCGGGTCACCCAGCCCGATCAGCTACGCTAAAGGTACGTCTGCGCTCCGTGCGGATTTAACCGGAGAACACTGTGCCCTCTGATTCTACATACTAAAAATGAACTTACACAAGACTGTTTAAAGGGAAAAAACTGCCAAATTCAGCCGCACACTTGCTTTTATCGTTAAATTATGTATATAACCCTAAAGCTGTCATTTCCACGATATTGTCGTTGTCCATGAGATTGTTTCTTGCTTATTTATCAAATTTTCGTCCTCAGACGACACAGTATTAATATGAATTCGATGTTTGACAAAATACTGTTATTTTTGTATTAATTCCATATGTGAGTGTATTATTATAAACACCTTAGCAGTGGTTGTCTTTCTCTGACAGTTAAGTCCCATTTTCCCTTTAAGTAAATTCCAAAATAATCATGATCGTCTTTTGAGAGTGTAAGTCGCTTTCCCAGTTACAGCAACAAAGACTGTACCCGTCTCGTTGAATTTCGTCCGCTGGAGTGTTTAACTCCAGTTGGAACAAAAGCACACCGTGTAAATTCCATCGGACAAATTTCATTTGAAACGAGATCCCTTTTCCCACTCAGACATTTCGATTGCGGGAAGTTACCGGGTGTAACCCAACTCCTATGGCGCCCCTCTTGAACGGCAGATGTACAAAGTGCCGACAAGGGCGCATCGACCGGGCCCGCCCGACATGTCATTATTTCAACTGCCCTGCGAGTGTGCCGTGCACTGGGTTTAAAGTTAACACTTTTTTATTTTACTTCCACTGTTTAATTCGATCCCATGCCAGACTGGATAAAATGATGTGATTAGTGTTGAGATGTCATCGGTATAAGCTTTGGACCAAAATGAAGTAATCATCGTCACTCGAACTCGCCAGCTATTATGACTTGATATAGACCAATACAGGGTGTACATATTTTGTTTGTGAACGGATTTAACACAATAAATTCCGAAAAAAATATTGACATGACGTCTTGAAGTGGACAAGATTTGTCTTGTGGCAGATAAGTTGATTCACATTACTTTCAAACCTGAATATTAAAAATTCGAGTAAAATCAGTTTTGTTTGTCCTTTTTTTTGTAAAGGGCGCAAAACTTAACACGGATTTAAAATGTGAGCGGTTGCAGTAACAGTGTAGTTTTTTTCTTAAAGACGCTGTTCCATCAAACAAATATCTTCAACCGTATATGAATAAAAAGTTGAACAAAAAGTTGAGCAGTTGTGTAGCACCCTTAAAGGTCAAGTCATATACACACTGCCCGTTGCATGCACTACACAATAAAGTATGCATGCATTCACTATGTTCAGAATCTTTTGTGAGTTATGCAGCTCAGTCGTCTATTGAAAGCAAAGAGCTGCCGCGCTGTACCGAATATCCTCAAATAAACCAAAGCAGGAAAGGGGCATCGACTACCTAAAAATCATCTTTTTCAATCACAAACACTGTCGTTAGTCTTAATGCACACAGTTTCCCTCCACTTTTTTGTGTTATGAACCTCTTCAAATCACGTGATTAATTATACATGTCGGTGGACCATCTCGTCAATGTCACCTGATGAAATGACAACTACTGTTAAGAATGTTCCTTGGCAAAACTCTTCAGTGAGTCACAAGCGAAGGTGGAATTGTTGCCACCAGTATGTAAAAACAGAATTTCCAGTTTGGCTTATATTTGATCAGATCTCATTGTAATTGTGATTTAGTTTTTTCAATTCCGTTATTTCCACGAAACATTCCATAAAAACTCATCCAATCCCAAAGTTTAATCCTGCTTGTATCATCGGGAATTCATTTGATATCATCATTGTCAGAGTGGCTATGCCTTCACCGTGGCCCCAGTGTTATCACGTTTCCGTGTAGTATTTGGTGGTGGTTATCATTTTCCTGTGTATTCCATAAATACATGCATTGTGTTCCCCAAGGTTTCAATCACATTACGAGGACTTGCTTGTATAGCGGAGTTCCCTCACCAAGCCAATACCGAGCGTCCTTGAGTTTTCACCGCCTGCGAGGCTGCGTCGCAACGGCCCCGGGGCGACAACTCCGTCTCGGCTTCAATTTCACATTGATGTGATTTTTGTGAGACATTCGTTGTACGTCATCTCCACAAAGAGGAAGTTTTATTAAACAACAAGCGCTGCATTCTGAGTTTTCGCATGTGCTGGACTAGAACGGTCTGTGAATTTCAATATGTGCATTACAATAAGAGCCAATTCAGCATGTGCAAAGCTAATATGGACTTAGACATTTCCTTTTCAAGAAGAGGACAGATTGTTTTGTAAATGTATAAACGTATATGGGTACACGAACCTTCCATTTTATTCCCGAGGGTTTAAATAACGTTTTTTGAGATACTATATACAAGTACAACATCATTTCATAGATTGTTAGTCGTTGTCATCAAGCAGTCTGGGAAGTGTTTACAGTTGGATACAGAATATTTGCAGGCTTGTTTGATTTTCCTTCTTTTCTGTTTGTACCCCTCTTCAGCCTGGAGTGGCTCCGCCTTGTTGGAAAGGCAATCTTAAATTACAAAGGGACGATTGGGCATTGCTAGTTCAGATGATACGCCCATCGCTGTAATCCGCCCTCTCGTTTAAGTCTGGTGCCGAGCTCTTTTTCTTCAATAATGACGACTTGCAAGATTTGGTCCCGGCCCGTCAAAACCACCCATGGCTCTGTATACTCCCCTGTCTCCTTAGCATGTGTTTATATGAAGGTGTTGTACATGTTTATTGGTGTGGTACTAAATTTTTCACACAAGTATGTCTGAAATTATGAAATTTAACTTACTTGTCAGTGTTCTGTAAAATAGTGTTCATAATTTTCCGAGGATATATCGGTGGAATATAATGAAGTGTACGAGTGCATGCATGGTATCAAAAATAAAATACATATATCGAGAACGAAAAGTCGAGTGTTTCTTCGTGAGATAATAGCTCTCGTTTAATTGCTTTTTAAACATTTGCATTAGCCTGATCTTGCTTTATGTTGTCAATAGAATGTTGTCGATCAAATGAAGAAGGCATTATCTGTGTAGGCCTACTACACGATCGGACAGCTTATTCATGTTACATGTGTTTACATTGTCAGATATGTATTCAAAACCTGCAGGCTGTTTGTCTTTACAATTACGCTAATTGTGAGGGCCGACTGTGCGATCATTTATGACGCATCATAATTCTCCGCCCCTGAAACGTCAGTCATGTTGTACACGCTACCACGTGTTGGTGGTCTTTACACAAAAGCGTCCCGCGACATTAACGTTAATCGCTGAATTGCACAAACATCATGATCGGTTCGTTAGCTCAACTAATCCTTCTCGTCCGAGACCATCAGGGACTGTTGTCTTTGGATCGAGCTGGGCTTTTAATTGTTTGTCTTTTGACCATCCCTCCAATAGGCAATTTATTTATAAGCTCAATGGTCCTGATTCGATTGCTGTATTTACGCTAATTAGCGAGCAGAGATGCCAGGGCAAATTAGCCAGCGTGACATGGTGAAATCATGACGGAGTGTTAGTTCGCCACTTAATGGATTTCAGAAGGACCAGACATGTTTTTGTTTTATTTGACCAAAGTTAAAGTGATTGACGGTTCCGATGTTTCGATGTCTAATTGTCCCAAGTATAGAAAAAAGTTGGGGGTTTTTGCATGTTTCAATTGTAAACCTGTGTAACTGACATGCGAAAGCTATAGTTTTTGACCACAAATATTTCTTTCTGGAAAAGGGGTTGACCCTCCTTTAACGTAGATTTTAAACAAACCACTTGTCGCCTCGAAGAGGCCCAATGAGAGAGTTCGTGATAAGGTATTTTTATTCAGGTCAATGGGATTAAGAATAACACATATCCCAGCTATGACCACAATACGGGACACAATAATCAATACTCTCAAAAATGGTCCTTTTCTCTTTATAAAAAAAAACCAGAAATGTATTTGATAAACTGTTTTCCCGAAAAATCAAAGAAGGAAAAGTGAGTTTTGAAAGTGTAGACCAGGGGCTCAAACGATTCTTTAAAGAGAATTGTCTGTTGACCACGTTACAGTGTTCAATTCCCCCTGAAAGAACAACTCTTTCCTCCTTTGTGCTTTCACCCTTAACTTTCGCCTTGGATACGAGCGAGAGTTTGCAGAATGATAAAACATTTCGCCGTGAGCTGTTCAGTCAATTTTGAGTGCTTTCAAGATGGTAAAAATGTTCTAATCGAGGTTGGGCTTGATATCTTATTTTCCCGAGGGCTGAAAATGTTATTGTACGAGTGACTCGAAAATTAGCCTAGTCGGGGGGCTAGAGGAGCAGTGGAAATTCCCGCAAACAGTTTTATAGTTGTTCCCCTAAATTTCCTGAAGTCGACAAGAAGATAATTCTCGCGTGGGCTTCTGTGTCGCCTTATCAAGAACTTTATACGAAGAGGCACAGAGACACAGAGAGAGGAAAAAATCGATAGTCTGCAGTGAAATGACTGTCACTTTGTTATTGAAGCACACGGAAAAGGGTACTTGGTGTGTTTGTCGGGGCGCCGATGTGCAAACACGTTGATGAGATATAGTCCTAGTACTCGGACGACTCGATGACCATAGCTTTGCGTGGCGCGAGGAGCCGACAACGAACTTACACAATTCCCCCCTAAAATTCGGATCAATTGATGGATGTTCGTGTCGAGGGTGTAATCTCCGATACAATGAAAACGCCAAAAATGGCATTTGTTCGGTGGCACTAGGTGCAAAAGAACAGTACAGGAAAGTCAACGTTCTAGTCAGCTTTATACCTGAGGATCGATGCCCCCGCACTGTTGTCGTTTACGATGCAAACCGGTTGTTGCAGTGGGGCTCGTGGTTTGATATCCTGGCGGTTGTTCTTGTTTTCTTGATCGTCTGTTTGTCGTTTTTATTGTTGTTGCTGGTGTTATTGTTGTTGATACTGTCCTTATGATCATTCGTGTCCTTGGTTTCCATAGTTTTCGCCTTGTACCAGATTTTACCTGTTCGCTTTGCAACTTGAAATGGTGGTCTCTGAGTGGCGCGGTTTGCATCCGTACCACAAACCGCTTTTGCTAATTTCTCAATCTAATCGACCATTCAAAAGAAAAAGGTCAAGAATTATGCGATTAACCACGAACTGAAAATGCATGGAGGCATTTTCATTTTTTTGCAAAAGTGAGGGTATTTCATTTATCGAATTCACTGAGGTTTGCAGTTGCTCGTGAAGGACCAAGGCTAATGCCACTCGCGAATTGCGCGGTCTTCTTGACGGCTGACGTTTCTATATGGATGCCGGATTTAATTCGTTTTAAGTGCTGAAGCTGTTCCTGGAAGTTGTCATTTTTTTTATCAACCACACACCGTGTTTTATCTCAGTTCTATTCCTTTTATAGCTGATTTATCCCGAGTGATTTGATTTGTCTGATTGAAGTGTGAACGATAGAGACGTGACTGATCGGTTGACCGAAAACTTCACGGAGGCTCATTTTTCTTGGCAACGCGTCAGCGGGTAATTATTCTGCGTGCATTTGTATTTGTTTTTAGGCGTCATGAATATTATCAAGATGTATTTTTTTTTGCGTTGGGGAGATGTTAATTATATATAACGGGTTTGCTCATGAATATTGATGAATCCGCTCTGAATTCAAGACCTGAGCAGCATCTTGGAAAACATGAGCAAGCAGAGAAATATACGATACTTTTAAAAGAAAATTAATAGTCAGAATACGGTGATAATAATAACCATGGGAAAAATAAAATCTGAAATAATAGGATGACAGTTGAGTTGTTACACTTTTTCCGTACCTAATCTGTTTGCGATTCAAGAAAGACGAACAGCAGATGTTTTCCAAATTACAGTCATCATAATACAAGCAGAAATGTTATTTTTTGTACATAGTCCGGCCGAGTATGACCGAGCTGGTCAACGAGAAGGCTCAGAAGATTTCTATGTTCGGAATATCCAAGTCAAATTCTGCTTATTGCCTGCGACATTGAAAATCTTAAGGAATTCGCGCATGAATGATTGATCGAAGTGACCGGTCGATGTATTAGTTCCTTCTCTCATGTCAGAAAGCGTTTACAAAGAACTGTCAAGGAAAAAAGCGAAAAAGGAACTATATCCAACAAAACAAAACAAAATTATCTGTGATTTTATTATCTGTGTTCAATTCAAAAACAAATAATTTTCCAAACACCAAAACTGCATGTATTTACATATATATTTGTATTTTTTATCGTTGCCTATACAAAAATTACTAAAATGTGGTGATTTTTTGGTTGTTGACTAGACAGCAGCAGATTTTCATCTGTGGATAATTACGTCACGGGTCGCCCACGGGCGGGTTCAACGCTCGGCGACTCACTGCAATGAATGAAGAGAGAAAAAAAAGGTGACACACCGCTTTAGGATGACAATAGCGGGCTAATCCCACCTCGACACCCGGGTGAATGTGCATTCTGCGCCGGACCATTCTCAACCTCAATTGCCCAACAAAGGGCCCAGCTACTGTGGGCTAATCATGCTGATCTTCTCTCTCTCTCTCTCTCTCTCTCTCTCTCTCTCTCTCTCTC